AAACTGTACGTGGACTCGATTTTAGTTTTGTAGGTACTCTGTACTTGACTGAAGTACTTCGTGATGGTGTTGAGTACCTACACCTGGCGGGTAGAGTGGGTAGGATGGGTAGAGAGGGAGAAGTGGTAGTACTGATTGGAGGAGAGAAACAGGACAGAGACGCAGGGAGACTGGAGAGGATGTATAAGAAAAATGATATCACTAATATTAAAATAAATAATAATAATGATAATAATGAATAATAACAACAAGTGTGATAATTTTTTTACTTTTAAAATATTAATCATTTTAAAAACACAATACATTGTTGTATTATTAGATCATTGTTTTGCATAAAAGTGAAATCCACAAGTTTTTACTTGTACAAATCTCATTTCTAGGAATGTACTTGTACATGCACTTAAACATGTACTTTCAGATTTGTTCAAGTAGCTACAAATCTGAATTCTAAGAATGTTAGTAACACGATGTACTAACATTCATATTTCCTAAAACTGAGAATTGTACTTGAACAAACCTACATGTTGAAGTGCATCTAGTCTACATGTACATTCCTAGAAATCAGATTTGTACAAGTACAAACCTGGGAATAAACCCCACACATTTACAAGCAAACGATAGTAAAAGGGATCCACTAGAAAAATTTTTTTTGCTGGGTATCTGGTTACATGGACATGCATTACTATAATATATACTTAATGCTGAGGAAGAGATCCAAATAAGAAGTACTGGCAATTAGAGTGGGTAGGATGGGTAGAGAGGGAGAAGTGGTAGTACTGATTGGAGGAGAGAAACAGGACAGAGACGCAGGGAGACTGGAGAGGATGTATAAGAAAATGATATCACTAATATTAAAATAAATAATAATAATAATAATAATATTGAAATAATCATTCGTTAAACTACAGCTCAAAGTTTCTGTGAGACATTGATTGTGTTATTGTTATGACATTTATGTGTAAGCAGATGGATATTTACATGGGGATTTTTTTCTTAGAATTTTAATATTTTTACTTGTACAATTTCTAGGAATATGTACAGTTGTACTTGATTTGTTGAAGTACAAATTTCAACATGATTTCAGTAATACATGCTACGTACATTCTAAGAACTGATTCAAACTTGTATTTGAACAAATTGGCCTCTGTGGATGTACATATTCCTATTTGGCAAATTTTGTAGTTTGTATGTATGACATTATGATTGTACTACATACAAGACTACTATTTTGTCCACATAACTTTGTTGCACTACAGATAGATCTAGTACTATATGTACTACCAATGCCATGTATAATATGATGTATTATTACTGCAGTAACAAGCACTCCCCCATAGCTTAGTCTATAAATACCATCCTTGATGATGCTCTGAGTGAATGTATACTAGTCAGTCCAGACTTTAAAATAATCATTTTTAAGAACACAATACATTGTTGTATTATTAGATTATTGTTTTGCATAAAAGTGGCTCTGCATGGGGCATATAACTACTACTCGGAATTTTTCTCAGAATCCCCAGATTAACTTGTACTTGTACAAATCTCATTTCTAGGAATGTACATGTACATGCACTTTAATGTGTATTTTCAGATTTGTTCCAGTAGCTACTGTAATATTGGGAACCGGGAATTGAATTGTATAGCAACCAGTAGTTGAAGTAGTACAAAAATGAGTGAATGAAGAACATCACGCGTATCTCAGTAATGTGAGAATGGCAAACTTGCTAGGTTCAAAGAGGACTTTAAATGAGAATGAAAATAATGAAGTAGAAGGAAGAAGAAATGAATGAACGAACAAATGAACAACAAATACAGTAAAAGCATGCACTTATATACTAAAAATCATAATACATCATATGATGTCATATTGACAGTCTGCCTATAAATAGAAATAATAATGGCCACAATAAGGATAACACAAGTAGCAATAAGAATAATAATAACAATAATAATAATAATAGTAACAATAATAATACATACATAATGATCAATACATAACATATGTACAACAACAATGAATACACAGTAATAATAATAATAACAGAATATTGTAGTTACGTGTACATGTACATGTATGCATAAATGTCAAAGCACCATTATCACACCCCTCCCCCTTTGAATTCAATGTACATAGGGTCCAATATCCACTTGAGTCATTCGTCTAGTTGATCTGCGTAATGGTGGTGGTGGATTATGCATCATCAAAGATAACTTTGTAATATCAAAGTTATCTGAACAGCTTGTTCTGCCAGACCATTTGAACGAGGATGATATGGGGAAGTTAGGGAGTGACAGATACCATTCTTACTCATAAATTCTTTAAACTGATGACTAGTAAAAGCTGTTCCATTGTCTGAGACTAATTGTTCAGGCAATTCATGCATAGCAAACAGCTTCCTTAGAACCTGAATAGTGACTTCAGCTGATGTAGAACTGACAATCTCTACTTCTAGCCATCTGGAATGTGTGTCAATAATAATGAGAAATGTTTTCCCCATAAAAGGACCAGCATGATCTATATGGATCCTAGCCCATGGAGAAAATGGACATTCCCAGGGATGAACTGGAGCTTGTGGTGGAGTAGGACGAGAAATCTGGCAAGTAACACATTCTTTCACTTTGTCTTTAGTGTCTTTATCTAAGCCTGGCCACCACACATAAGCTTGAGCAAGATTCTTCATTCGACTGATGCCTGGGTGTGTATCATGACGTTGGGATAGTATAGAGGGACGACCCTGAGGAGGTATAACCATAGATACTAACCACTCGAGACCCTTGGAGTAAACAGCCATCAATAACACTTAACTCAGCATAACACTGGAAAAACAGCTGCAGGGCTGGAGAGGTTTCATCAGATATCCAGCCAGTTTGTACTAGTTTGCACACACGGGAAAGAACTGGGTCACTAGCTGTCCACTCTTTGATTGTAGAGGCATGGACAATGGTGTCTGAAATGTGATTTAGTAGCAGGACTACATCATGAGGCATAGGAACTGACTTCGGTTGATCAGGTAAAGGAAGTCTGCTAAGAGCATCCACATTAGCAAGTTGTTTTTCTGGCTTATGCTTGATCTCATAAGAGTATGCAGCTAAAGTTATAACCCAGCATTAGATACGGGATGTAAATTTGTACTCAATTAACCTGTCATTCCTTCTGCTCTCATGAGCAAGCTCTCTCAGATGGGAGGGTTTATTAAACTACATGTGCATATAGTACTGTATACTATACATATGTAGGTTCTATTTATCTGTCAATTTTTAAATCAGTCGCACATATACTGTATATGTATTGCTATTATTAACATGTAACTTAAACATGTAGCACATTGTAAAAAATTACATGTTCAAATACATGTAAATTTTGTATTTGAACAAATGTACTTGTTCAAGTACATGTACATGTATATTCCTGGAAATCAGATTCATACATGTCAAGTACAAATCTCCGACATGCTTGTAGTAAAATGGATCCACCAGAAAAACATCTTTTTTGCTGATATCTGGTTACATGGACATGCATTACTAATAATACTTGAGGTTTGTAATTAGAATTTAAGAAGAGATCCAACATAAGAAATACTGACAATGGATTGCATACATGCAGTAGATAACTCAGTTGAGATGCAAACTGTATCAGTGCTTTGTATGGAGTAGTCCTCCTACTGAGAGACTGTCCACTGGTTCCTGGAAATGTTGTCCTTACAAGAGAGGTGGTCTATCATCAGGGGATAATGTAATGTACAATAGAACTTAAGGTCAATTTAAAAGTTAAACATGAGGTGGTCTCTCATTACATATTAGGGATAACTCTGTAAAATAATAATTGACAATTGTAATTGACAAATCATTTCAATTTTTCCCACTATTATAAATAAATTGCTGGGAGGTTGACATTGTTTATGATTGGTATATCTGTATCACCATTCAAGTGATATATATATAACTCTTTGTTGGTAAACTATATATGTCACAGATGCCTCCACCTCATTTTATAGCTACAGATATTACCAATTAATAGTACTGTGTATTACTATTGATCTGCTATAAATAATGATCCACTCTTGCTGGTATGTATAATTATTTTATTGATACACAAAACTGACCATAAAGGTCAGTTGCTGTAGTAACAAGAACCCACCCATGCATAGCTTAGCCTATAAATATCATCTACCCTCACAGTCACTGAGAAGTCAGTCCAGACAGTAGCTATGTCTCTCCTGTTAGTGGTTGTTCTCTTATTCTTCAGTAGCTCCTGCAGTGTCTCCTCTGGTCAGTATTATGTGTCTGATTACTGCAGTTCAGTTACTCAGTCACCTTGTAATCCTTTATCAGTGTATGCTGGGGATATGTCTCAATACAATAACACCATCTTCTACTTCATTGGAACCACTACCATTAATGATAATGTTACCATGACTGCAGTAAAGAATGTTACCCTACATGGACTGGATCAGTCTCCTAGTATTAACTGCAAGAAATTTATAAACAATACTGCAGTATATATATATTACAGTGATCATGTCACTATTTCTAACATATCCTTTAGTAGTTGTACGGTGGAGATTGATTCATCTAACAATGTTACAATAACTAACTCTGTCTTTGCCTCAGACCCTGATCTATTCTATTATTTAGTTACATCTAATGCTTTTGATCTTAAGATATCATCATCAGTTTTCTCAAATTTTGTTGAAGACTATACTCTGTATATTTATTATCTTCCTCTTCCAGTATGTAGTGATGAATTACTCCATTACTCATTGATGCTGACTAATGTTACCTTTACTACTGGCAGTGGAATGGAACTATATATGACTCATGGTACCACATACAATGTATCAATTATCTTTGATCAGGTTGAAGTTGAATACTGCAAATCACTACTATTTCAGGTGGAGGGTCTTTTTTATCTTTTAATTATCAACTCATCATTTCATAATAATGTTTATGCTTTATTTATTCAATTTAGTGGAATATCAGAATCAAGCCATTGCACATATCCTGGTATTCAAGTAAGCTCTACTTTTGTAATTGAGAGCTGTCAATTTTACCATAATCCATTTGGACTGAATATTCTTAGTGTGTACTTTATAGCACTAGACTATCACATTATTATCAAATCATGTTTGATGTATGACAATATATTTCAAGGATTATCCATTGATGGGACATTTTTGAGACTAACCCAAATTGATATAATAGATACTGAACTTATTGGAAATAGAGTGGGAAATAAGATAATGAACAGTAATGCTATTAGTCTCAGTAATGTTACTGTTGCTAACAGCACCTATACAGGATTGACACTTGAAAAATCATCAGTGACAGTTAAAAATACTTTAATTTTTAAGAACAATGTTGGAGTAGTTGGAGGAGGCTTAGCAATAAATGACTCATCACGATTGATAGTATCATCATCAGCTAACTTGGAGTTTATTGATAATCATGCTTCTTATAAAGGAGGAGGGATCTATTCTGAAGAGTCATCACATTATAATTTCATACTATTAAAGGCACCAAACGTATCTCTTACATTAATAAATAATACTGCTGGACTGGTTGGTGGTGATTTGTATGGAGTATATGTTCATGATGCGAAAAATGATCAGTTCCACTTGACAAACCCAAACATTAGTTCAACAAGTGATGCAGTAGAGATATGTTTTTGTGATCCTCATACTACAACTAGCTATGAAAACTGTTTACATCATGTAAGTGTTCAATGCATTTTTCCAGGTCAAGCATTGAAGTTTAATGTGGCTTTGTTTGGTTATAATTTCTTTAAATCACTAACTCCAACAGATGGTACAGTAGAAATACTGAATAAAACCAAGTTCTTGCTCAATCAAACATACATTCCAAATTCTTGTTCACTGATTGAATACAAACCAAAGCTGACTCAAACAGGATATAAAAGTGAATTAGATATTACTTCTTCTAAGACAAACAAAGTTATTTTTAATTTCATTGTTAAAGAATGTCCCATTGGTTTCAGGTTAGATAAGTCACAAGGTTCCTGTACTTGCAGTCAAAGTCTTTCAAGAGAGAATGTCACATGTGATATAAATACTCTAAACATTACACACAATGGTCTACTGTGGATTGGAACGTATCATACCACTACACCTTTCAATGCTAATGAAACCAATCCTAATGCATGCATTATCAATGAGGACTGTCTCCTCTA